TCTGCCTGTCAGTCTGGGAGCCTCCACTGTTTTGTTGCCCTCTGTCTGGCGTCTGTCAACCGTTACATGTCTTTTTTTAGTTTTTTTTTTTTCTCCCGTCTTTGTCTTCTTGTCGCCGTTCCTTCTGCTCTCACCAAACCGAGCCATCAGAGTTCCGGCTGAACTTCCAAAGCAGGAAGTGAACGTTGTGAGACGCCTGCGGGCCTCGCCGTTTAGTCTAATTGATTCTCCTAATTGTCTCAGGAAGACCAGAAAGTTCCTCCCTTTTTCTCTTTCCAGCCCCCTCTCCTCCCTATCTGTCCTTTAATCACCACCGTTTGCGGTGGATGTTCGCCGGCAGTGACTTAAAACTGTTTGACGCACATTCCAATTCATGGCCGGACCCCCAGACGCACGGAGCAGATGTGAAATCCATTCTGATTAAAACGAGGAGCGGCAATGAAAAACAGATCTGTCGTGTCTGAACTGCCCAAGAGATGCTGTCCTTGTGTGAGCTTAAGCAAGACTAAGTGATTGCTCGTCCGGCTTCCTGAGAATGCTAACACGGGCGTCCGCGGTCCTTCTTAACGGCGGCTGCTGCTTTTTATTCTTATTCTTTTACCTTTTATCATTTTCAAGGGCCACTTTTTTTTTAAGTTTGATCAAATCTGCTTTCATAATTCATCGGTTTTCTACGATAGCGTTACCCGCAGTTGCATGAATAAGACATAGTCGATGCCATGAGAAATATTACTTCCACATGTGCCAAGGACGACCTCCACTGTGTGAACTCTTCTTTTCAAGAGCAGCATTTCCCATCACAACAGTCCCGTTTGACCCTCTTAACATTGTCTCCATGCTTAATAACGCTCTCGTCTTCCTGTTTCTTGTTTTCCACAAGGGCCCCCCCCCCCCTCCGCCTTGATTGTTGCCCCTTCTCGGGTTTGTCGTGATTGGCTCGGGACGCGGTGGCTGATGGGTAATGATTAGCCGAGGCCCCCCGACTAGCCAATCAAAGCCGGTTAATTAGCCCCATTGTTTTGCCGTCGTGGATTCGCCCCGGACTCTATCCGTCCGTGTCTTCGCCCGGCTTTCCACCTCGCCTCGTCCCTCTCATTAGCAGGCTGGAGTGGAGGAACAATCAGGCAGAGCGTTGGTCCAAGCCTGGCATGCATGTCCACACACACACACACACACACACTGGCTGGGTCCCAGGAGTCCTTTTATGGCCGGTGATTGTCATTCGCAGCTCGCTGTATGACCTTGATAGGGATAACAGAAGCACCACCGAGGGATGCGACTGCATACTCGCACACACAGTGGAGATGAAACCCTCCCTCGTTCTCTCGCTCAAAAAGAAAAAAAAAAGGCCCAAGGACATGAGAAGTGTCTCTATGCAGAATTTCCATGATACTCATTTATGATGTTGGATCAACTTTGCATTTTCTTCGGCACACTTTGCTCAGAAAAAAAGAAAAAGAGAAGTTACATAAGTTTTTGGAGACATGTCTGTGTACATATTTGCTCGTACCTTTCTTGTCTTTTTCATTTCTTGCCCTCCTGACAGCCGATGAGAGCGCACGCGGCGGGAGGTGTTATCAAGGTTTTGATGCACACAAACCAGCTCGCATAAACACACCCGGTCTGTTTGCCGAAACCCGTTGTTTGGGCGCTCCGTCGTCTTTGTGCTCTGAGGTGTTTGGTGTTGTGGAGCGACGCCACACCTCCTGTCATCCTCCCGCAGTATCACGAGCCCCGCAGTCTTTCATGTCTGCTCGGCTGGTAATGAGAGCTGATAGAAAGAGGTGAGATTCTCCCATCAGTCCTCCCACACGCACAGAGGGAGACGAGCTCAGCGGAGACCGAAAACCGCCGGGTGCACGTCGCTTCGCCGGCGTGCGCGCACATCCGACCGCCTGTGTGTACGTAGGCCGCGGATTATCGCGCTCGCACCCCACGGAGGCGTCATCTAATCAGTCTAAACTTCTCCTGACACTTCACTTGCTCTTCAGCTGAAGTTGGTGCGTCTTTATTAGGGATCTCTCCCTCCCTGGCAGTCTCTGCTTCCTCCTTTCTCACATACTTCCCCTCCCTACGTGTCCGTTCTTGTTGTTTTTTTTTTGTATCTCCGCTCCCTCCCTGCGTTTATCAAAGTTTGATGCTCAGCCATCTGTGAATCCAACTAATGTTTCACCTCATTCCTTTTTAGTTTTCTTCTTCTGACCCAGTTTGTCGCTCTCCACAGGTGCCGGCTGCTGCTGTGATTACAGATCAGAAACATCTCTGTCCTTAATGACAGCTGTGCCACCTGTCCGAGTTGTTTTGGTGGGGTTTTTTTAATGCCCTTCCAAGAATAGAAAGATGAGGGGGAAGCGACGGTAAGAGAAAGTACCCTGGATGCTGTTCAGAACATCTGCCAGATGATCAGATAAACAAGAGAGTTGAGATGAGGGCATAAAGGAGGGAAAAGCAGCAGGTCAGGAGGGAGGCCATGTTGTCAGTATGTGAGTATTATCCTTAAATAGCCGCCTTGTGCTGCGTTTCAGCAACACTTTTGACATTTCCTGCTCTCGTCGTTGGCTGTGGGCAAACAAAACGAGCAGTGGGACGTGATGGAGAGAAGTGGAACGTGATGAATGGAGAAAAAGAGGTATTGATGCTCGGCGGATGAGCGAGGACGGACGTACTGGAGAGAGTAACAAGTGGGGGGAGGCGAGAAGTCGAAGACGGAGTGGAGGGGGAAGATGAAGCGGGACGCGGAGATGAATGGCGGCGAGCTCTGGAGAGGCTATAAGCGTTTGAGCTTTGTCTGGCACCGGCTCGCAGCGCCGTGGTCTCATGTCCCATGCTCTTTCAACTAGGAAGTAAAAAGGCCTTCATTTTAGCTGCTCTCCTACTGAAGTGCACTCTCATCAAAGGCGACCTCGTGGCAGCTCTCTGATCATAAGGCACAGTGCAGGGCCGCCGTTTAGATCCTTGGCTAACAGCGCCGAGGCCCAGAGGGGTGTTGAAGCCGGTGACAGCCCTGTGTGGGTTTTTGATGCGGGAACGGCAAACACCGGCAATTTGAAGTGATGGAAACTTGATTTTCACGTTTAAGTGACGACTCTCAGCTTGATTTTTTGCAAAGGCTTACGCTGCTGTGAAATTCACATGCACTCACCTGTCACCGGAGAAAGCAAGAAAATAATAAAAGAAAAAAAGGCGAGCGACAGACGACAACAGCAAACAAACAAAAACACTGTCACCCGTGTTCATGTTTTCCCCCTGACTCTGATATCCCATTTCTAGGGTTTCTATAGAAGACGACCAAATAAAGTCCTGTCGAGCAGCTTGATCTTTCCTCCAAGTATCGAGTTCTTTCTCCGGCGTTGATCACGTCAAAGTCACATCTTAACAGAGGCGCTTTCTTTACTCTTCCACACAACATTTTTGCAGAAATTGCACAAAAATGGGCAAATTTCAGATGAGACTGGGAGAGCTTTTGAATAATCTCAGATACAGTTTGGCTGCATCGATGTGTGCAGGGACAAAATACAGCCGAGCAAGACGTCAGCGCTGTCGGGCGTCATTCACAGCTGTGGAAGACGGCTTCGGCTTTTTGGTATTTTTGGGCTACTTTTGGTGAATCCAATGTGGCTTACAGACACAATCAAGTCATCAAATGTGCAACAAACCTTATGTTCCTGCTCGGCTGATCTGCGTCTCATTCATGTTTTGAAAGAAACCCTCCCCGACAGGTGACGGTGAGTCAGTGGAGGCATGAACCTGAGACACAACTTTTTACCCGTGACGTCGGAATTTGCTTCCCGTGTGATTATTCTGAAGGTTGGTGAAGTTTAGGCACCAAAACTACTTGGTTAGATTTAGAAAAAAATAATATGCTTTGGGTTTAAAATGAGACAGAAACTTGTTAGGTTTGCAACGACTTAGTTGGGTTCAGAAAAATATCCTAATTTGGGTTAAAATGAGACACGTGTGAAGCTTCTCCTCCATTAACTGTACTACTGATCGATTCCCTGAAAAAGAGTGACAGTAAAGCAATAAAACAAACGGCAAAGACATGCTGATTACGAACATATTTGCTGTGTTTTTTGGTTTTGCTGTCTCGTTTTATTTTGAAAGGGTCCACTATCTTGCCAGTCATTTTACTTCCTGTCTTTGTGATCTCCTCTTATTGGTTTCAGCTGCGTCTCATCACCTAATCAGCTCCTGTTTGTACATCTAGTCTTTTCTCTTCCTGCTCTCTGTTTGACTTTTCCTGATCTTCCAGGCGCTCATCTCTGGTTTGTGCATTTAGTTTTCTGAACCTTTTTTTTGTTTGTTTTGCTTTAATTTGTTCCCCCGTGCTTCCGTTAACGTCCTGGATGTTTGGTTCACCTTTACTGCCAGTATTTGTGATATGTCACAAGCAAACATGATTCAGGAGAAAATCCCTCAAAGCATGACTGGAGATGTGCTTTAGTTGTACAGGATTGTCCTGTAATGTGCCTCGAAGCGTTCTCCCGTCATGAATCTGGTCATTTATTCTCCTCTTGGTAGCATCTTGTGGTGAATTTATTTCTCTAATCTCTCACCTGAAGGTCTCTAAATAAGTATTTTAACTTGATCGAATCTTAAACATTTAAAATTTCAGTGAAAGAACACCAAATCCTTGAAGTCAGAACTTTAAACGCTTACAGGCAGTTTTTAAAAACACTTTAAATGTAAGTTGTGAACCTTATGACGAAACTTTAGCCGTGAAGAATTCTCATTGTGTTCCTAATGCTCTCAACCAGCCGTCGCTTTGCAGCAAATTATGTGAACTGTGTGTGTTAAACAGCTGGAAAGTTTCTCTCCACACCGGGTTTTGGCTCATTATTTTTATAATTTTTCTCGCTCCGACAGATGCCCTGAACTCTGAGTTTTGCCCCTTTCAGCTGTGATGTGTGACTTTAACATGCTTTGTTTTTCTGTTTCCTTTTTCCAAACTGCCTGTTCCTGTTACGGTGGATATCGGCGGATGCTGTTGGCGCCGGCAGTCTCATGTGAGTGAATCTTTCCAAAAAAAAAAAACGTCCCTGGGTCAGATCAGTTCTGCGCGAGAGAATAGAATCGTCAGCCAGCTAACTTGGCAGCGCTCCTCAGGAAAGAAAAAAATAAAATAATGTGGTCGGAAAATCTTCCTAGCGTAGCCCTAACAACAAAAAAGATCATCTACATAGCATTTGCATTTAATTATTAAGGAGCACATTTTTATATTTATTTAGCTGTTCCACTTTCTTTATCTGAAAGAAGCGCTGCATCATGCATGAGCTGGTGGTCACAGCAGGCCTCCAGTGCTCAAGGAGATGATGCTGAACTTTCTTATTTTACGCGAGTTGAATTTACCGACTGATGAAATCAAATCAAAGTCTTGTTCGGTGTAAAATTTTAATTGGTAGTTATCAGGGATTTGCATCAGCGTTCAGGGAACAGTGAGCTTCTTTTGCACAGAAACGTATCAACAACCTTTTTTCTTTTTTTTTTTTTTTTTCTCCTCCGTGCTTTGGCAAAGGAAAACAATAGAAGCGGTTTCAGGAAATAAGCTTTGTCTGAATGAAACGGAGCGAGCTTGTAATCGTTTGGCTTTTTGATTCGTGTCTGCAGGTGATTTCGGCACAGAAGGTGGGGAACCAAATCTTCCGACTGACGGGCCCCGGCGCCGACCAGGATCCCAAAGGCCTGTTCACCATCGACATCGACACGGGAGACGTGTCAGTCAGCCGCTCGCTGGACCGGGAGGCCATCGACTCCTACCTGGTCAGTGTGTGCGCCCTCGTGATTGTCGTGTTTGTGTGTTCTGTCCACCTCCTTTCCGTCTTTGTCGAGTTTCCTCTTCAACTCGCTCGACTTGTTCATGAGAATTTTGTCGTTCAAATTTGGCATCATGTTGGAATATGGGGAAGAAAAAGAAAAAATGCTCGTGGAATGTTTTGTGTTTGATTTCCAACCCGGCTATGCTAATGTTGGCAGCGGGATTTGGGGGGGAAAAGGACGGACTTTGTATTTTGGTCCTCCTCTGTGTTGAAACGGCCCGTTGGAGGCTGTTTGAGGTGCCCGAGCGTTTTGTGCCCTTGGGGTTGTCTGGCCAACAAAAGCATTTCCCCGCCCTTGAAGAGAAAAGAGGGAGAGAGGGGGCAGAGAAAGTCCAGTGTGTAAGTCGGTCGATTGATCTTATTTCTGAGTCGGGGTGTTGGGCTGGGTGCGAGCTGATGATAAGCTAACTGGATTTTGTAAAAGCTCACAAATAATTTGCTCTGTAAACACCAACAGATGCGAGCGGAGGGCGAGCGGCAGAGAAATAACACACATTTGGCGGATTTCTTTCTTTCTTTTTTTGTCTTCTGTTGCTCAGTTACATGCGATGTGTAGCCGTGACTTTACGGTCTGATGGAGGCTGTTCCCAGGAACACCCAGTAACGGAGCGGCCCCTGAATCTGAATGAGAAATACGCATTTCTATATAACCAGACTGCGTGTACAATTAAATAATGACCCACCAGGAGAATTTCTCACCATCTAGTTGTGGGGAGATAGAACTTACTCTAGCTTGTCTCCCTCTGGAAAAAATGAACCTAGAAAGCAATTTGTTCCCTTCTCGTCCAATTCTGGCCTCAAGTCAGATTTCAGTTAAACGTTTTCATGCTGGGAATTGCAAGGAAGCAGGATAAACGAAGCTAAATGGAGAGATCAAGAGGTCTAATCAGACGGCATGAGTGAAATCAGATGCATGTTTGTGTGGACGATGCATCTGTAGGAATCTGTGTGGCGTCGCGTCGGCCTCCCGTTAAGCATCGTGATGGTTGTAGGGCCTTTGAGAGGAATAACTGTATTCATATTCCTAACAGACTTCTTATTGCACTCAGTTATTTTAACTCCTCTTTCGAGTGCTTACACCGAAATAATTTGCGACTTCGGGCGGCCGCGTTTTTCCAGCTCTGTCAGCGTTGTTAATTTACAAAATAAAGATTGCAGACGCACACATACAGATAACCGCACACAAACCTTCAAAGAGACTGTGCTTAATAGTTTTTTTTTTTTGCTTACATTCTGAAAGTATTTTGGCAGCTTAGTGATTTAAAGTTTTCGGGGTCCTCGTCGGCTATAACAAAAGTTGGTGCATAAAGCTCTGGGGATGGAGACAGACACAGAAGAGGGAAAAGAGGACAGTAAAGAAGAGCGAGACGAGCAGAGGATAAGGGGTCTGGGGATCTTCTCCGTGCAGATTTGACTGTGTTCGCTGTGGAGAAGAGAGAAGTTTAACGACGTAATGAGCTGAGCCGAATCCAAGAGAGAGGGAGAGAGTGACAGAGATATGGAAAAACAGGGTGCCTTGTAATTTAAAATTAGAAAAAAAAGGAGCAATGCAAGCAGCAAGGCTGGCTTTGCTTTACTTTGTGTTAGAATATAGTTCAGTAAAGCAGCTGGTTTGACACTAACGTTGTTAATACTCAATATAGACCAGCTGCACATTAAAGGTGCCACCAAAGTACCTCTGACATGTCGATGCATGGACTCCACAAGACGTCTGAAGATGTTCTGTGGTATAAGGCGCCAAAAAGTGAGTGGCAGATCCTTTAAGTGCTGTAAGGTGGATGGACTTAGGGATAGAGCATCCCACAAATGCTCTGTCACATTGAGATTTGAGGAATCTGGAGGCCAAGTCATCACCATGAGCTCGTTGTTGTTCTGTAGCCTCTGCCATCACGGCATGTTGTTGACATGAAGGGGTGGTCTACAGCAGGGGTGTCCAATCCTGGTCCTGGAGGGCCACAGTCCTGCATGTTCTAGATGTTTCCCTCTTCCAACACACCTGATCAGCTCATCATGAAGCTCTGCAGAAGCCTGATAACCATCCTGATCATGTGAATCAGGTGTGTTGGAAGAAGGAAACATCTAAAACATGCAGGACTGTGGCCCTCCAGGACCAGGATTGGACACCCCTGGTCTACAGCGATGCTTAGGTAGATGGTGTAGCATCACATCCATGTGAACAGCAGGACCTCAGGTTTCCCAGCAGGACATGGCTCAGAGCATCTTGCTACTTCTGTCTAACTTCTATTTTGCTGCCATCTCTTCCCCAGCTAAATGAAATTAATTAGAACTAGAGTACTTCTTTGAATTGCTCCATGGTGCCGGTTGGATGCTCGTTTTTGACACCTTCAGAGGTGGGCAGGGTTCGGCGTCGGCACACTGACCGCTCCACAGCAGGCGATGCATGTTCAGGTTTTCTCCGCTGTGGGACTGGACCACACTGGTCTCCCTCCGCTCCTCATGTGCAGCACTGAGCCTGAGCCACCCATGGCTGAGTCACTGGTTGCTCCTCGTTGGACCACCAACCACTTCAAGAACCTGCTGTTGTGGTGATCATAAATTCGTCCCCGATCCTCACGCCAACCTTCCAACACATCACCCCCAGAACAGAGTGTTCACTTCCCGTCCAGTATATCTCAGTGCGTGACAGGAGCCAGTGTGACGAGATAATCACTGTTATCACTTCACCTGCCAGCGGTTTTAATGTCGTACCTGATCGCTGTGTACACATGCTCCTCACTCTGCTGCGATATAAAGTTGATCTATGTGAGCGTTTACCTTCAGATCTTATTGCTGCATGCATTTCTTAACCAAAAGTAGCTGATTCAGTTTATTTCCCTCCGCTTTCGAGCTTCTGAAACAACATTTACCTTCATCTCGGTGGTTTTTCTGTCTCCCTCGAGGCGTCTTTATTACCACCGATAGCTGCTGCTTATGTTTCATCAACGATTGTGTGGAAGTCTCGATTGATTTGAGTCTGCGGTTTGAAAATACCTCCTCAGCTCTCGTGTTTTGACGCTGATTTCAATATGTGACACTAGAAAACTGATGGATAGCTTTCAATGTGACGGCAGAACAGAATATAATCCGTCTAGTGGGCTACGAGTCACAGCGAAGAGCTTCAGCAGGTTCAGATGACTTGAACAGAACCTCGCCTGACTTGGTCGTGCCTCAGACCCTCGACGGAGACCAGCGCTCTGCTTTCCAGAAACCACCTTTTGGTGCTTTTTGCATTCGTATTCTGATCGTAAAAGCTCAGCTATTTAATTGAAGGCTTCAGCAAATGGCCAAATATTTCCATCAGAGTGAATAACCCCAACCGGTCTAATATGCCATTATTTCAAGGGGCCTCGAGTGAAATGGCTTCCAATATCAGTTATGCCATTCATTGTATCTGGGCTGCCTCTAATGATGATTGTTATTTCCAACCTGGTAGTTACAATCCCTGAAGGCAAGCCGGTATGTCTTTCTATGCACATACTGTACTTATTCCCGCCACTCTTTGCCTTTTCTTTCCCAGTCAAAGCTGCACGATATCTCGCTCTCCCTTCACTTATCACTCGACGGCAGTGAGTCTGTGTCCCAGTCAAAACTCCAGAACAAAGGTCTCCTATCAAATTCAGCTCCGTCTTTTTTATCAGCAGCCTCGCGCTGCGTGCAGAACCAAGGCTGTGTCACTTTTACGGCGCCCGGTGGCCCTCGCCGGCTGTCCGAGTCACATCCATTAAGAGCGTCCCTTTTTTTTTTTCTCCTCCCATTGCAGCTAATGGCCTGTGTGGAGACGAAACATGAAATATTCAGAGGCAGATTAGGATCGCCATTACTCCAACGGCGATTTATAGGCAAAGTGAAACTAACAAACGTAAAGCCTTGTCCAATGTACATCTGCTTGAATGATCATGAAACGCTGCAGTTTCCCTCAACGGTACGAATAATTTCAACCTCTTCTCACTCATTGCTGTCGTTTTCTAGCCCAAATTTGTCAACTTGGTTCTGTTACTCTTGTCTCACCATCCTTACCTTAAGCTCAAGTTGTTTTTTTTTAGCTCTAATAATCCATTCTGGTACCTGCATTGATCCACAGTATAAGAAAACTGCAGTCTGAGATGTCAATTTCCTGGATTAGTCACACCGGGGCACAAACATATTAGATATTCTTGACGTTTTGTGAAGTAATTTACGAGCAAATGTCAAGGTCACATCTATTATCCTTCAGCTCAACTTTATTTATGAAGCACTTTAACACAACAAAAAGTCAAAACAAAGCGCTGAACATAGAATATAAAACATCTAAAATGCAAAATACAATAAAACAATCATCAAGGACAATAAGAACAGTTAAAACAGGAGTCTCGTGACGGTGTTGGTGCTTCTCTAAGACTTCCAGAGCCTGGAGCTGCAACTGCAAAGCCTCTGAGACACATCAGGAGACACTAGAAGAACTTTTTCAGGATGTAATGGATGTAGATGACCTCTTTCTCTCCAGCTCCTCACAACCAGCGCTGTGTGTCAGTCTCCAGGCCTCCTGCCTTCAGGTGTGGACTCTTTGCTTAACTACCGTCGTCAGCATCCGCCGATATAATCAATGTTCCTGTTGTAAAAACCACCTCTGCTGTCTCGGGCATGCCTCGTGCTTCCTTCCACTCCCTCCTCGCCTTCTCCTCCCGGTTTTGCAGCGTGATGATGATTGATTACCGCTGACGTGAAAAAACTGCTCTGCCCACCCTGCAAGGTCATTGTGTTTCAAAATACTCCTGCCACCGGCTTTGCTAAAATTAAATCAATAAAGTTGACTTGCTTGGTATCTAAATTCAGCGGTTCAGAGTTTTGGAGGCTCAGCTTGGAAATTTATGGATGCAGACACTGTTGCAAGAGAGGGAAAAAAAAAAAAGCCCACACTAAGCAAAACTTGGAAAATACACTTAAGGAAAGCGCAGCCTGAGTTTG